CCACTTCCTTCAACCAGCCGATTGGCTCTTGGGATGTGTCCAAGGTGGAACTCATGGACGGCATGTTCTGGAGTGCCACTTCCTTCAAACAGCCGATTGGCTCCTGGGATGTGTGCAGAGTGACAGACATGACCGGCGTGTTCCGGGCGGCGATTGGCTCTTGGGATGTGCCCAAAGTGGAGCTCATGGACGGCATGTTCTTGAATGCCACTTCCTTCAACCAGCCGATTGGCTCTTGGCTTGTGTCCAAGGTGTTGGTCATGACTCGCATGTTCCAGACGGCCACTACCTTCAACCAGCCGATTGGCTCCTGGGATGTGTCCAAGGTGAGGAGCGTGGAGCGCATGTTCTCTGATGCCACTTCCTTCAACCAGCCGATCGGCTCTTGGGATGTGTCCAAGGTGAGGAGCATGGAGCACATGTTTTCTGATGCCACTTCCTTCAACCAGCCGATTGGTCCAAGGTGACCTCATGTTCGATGGTGCCAGCGCCTTCAACCAGTCCATTGGCCGTTGGGATGTGAGCGGCTTCTATAGCTAAGCAGCCAATTGTGCCCAATGTGACGCGCGTGCATCAGCATCCCACAGGTGGGTTGAAAGCCAAAGCAAGTTCTCAGAAACAGGTTTGCCTAAGTGTGGAACAGTGACACCCTATTGGGATCATGTTTGGTCTTGCCTTCTTGGTATGGACCCCAGTTGATCTCTTCATGAGACGCTTTGGCTGGCCTCGGAGCGATGAGGACCTGATAGTTTTGCAAAAGTTTCATGAGGCGCTTGATGCCTTAGCTCAGAGCTGAGGTTGTTGACGCTGTTTGGTGGAACGCTTCATTTGCTTTGTTCCAGGGCTGCAGGTTTTGTTTCCTTAAGCTGGATCTTCGGTTTCCAGGTTCAACTTGGCGGAGCACTTCATTTGGCTTGCCTGAGCACTGCATGTTTTGTTTTACTTTCTCGGTCCTTAGGTTTCTTTGTGGAGCCCTTCGTTCGTTCTCGGTTCGGAGCTTTGTTTCGGGATGAAGATACAGTGTCTGGTTCTACGGCGCTGGCCACTTCCAAAAAGACGACACTACAACCATTATCACTACGACGGGACTGCTGAACGTTGCCAAAGCCTTCATCGAGCCTAAGTGCTCTTGGCTCGTACCACTCTTGGCCTTTGTTGCTGGTAATTGCTGTGCTGTTGCCGTGTACCTGGGAGCGCACTTCATCCTCAGACACGGACGCGATGCAAATCTTGCTGGTGACGAGTTTGTGGAGCTAAGGGGGCGCTCTCAGAGGGATTCCCTTGCGGATTATGATTATGGTGAGATGACGTCCTAACGTCAACTTCTCACTCGCTCGGACTTGGAAACCAAATTTGAACGAACCCGACCCCCCGAGGGGTTGCCAGCTGATTCATGCAGCAATGATCGTGATAAGAGTCAGGCAGCAACCTCGCTTCCGTCGACTGCGAGGAGCTCCGTGTGCTGCTGCTGGGTGCCGGCACCTTGGGCTGTGGTGTGGCCCGAGCGCTCATGGGCTGGGGCTGCAGGCGGGGTGGGGCACCAAGGTCTGAATGTTGGCGATGCTTTCAGCAGTTTTTCATGAGTTGATATTAGTTGATTCCGTTCATCAGTTGAATATTCTTTTTCCTTGAGATGCTTAGATCAGCAATCCCAGGTGGTATGGAGGTGGATGCAGAAACTTGCGCGTTTGGGGTTCGCATTGGTATGTCCGCTCCGCTGAATCAGGGATCTCAATCGCATATGACTTTCGGACCGAGAACAGAGAATCCGCTTCCAAAGAAGTTGTGCTGATGCCAGGCACATGACATTCGTCGATGCCGGCAAGGCCGGCATTTGCCTTGCTGAACACCTACGTACGGGCTAGGGCTAGGGGAGCCGGCGCAATTCCGGCCAAGGAGAAGCAGCAACAGCAGCAACATAAATTGGGGGTCTCCGGGGTTTTTGATGTTCGCGATGTTTGATGAGAGCGAACGTTAAGAAAGCAGTGCGATGGTTTCACTTAGGTTTCCTTCTCGAACCCTGTGCGGCAGAGTCTGTTTACCCACAAAGACGCTGCGGACGGTCGCAAGAAGGCTGGAGACGGGGCTGGGAGCCATCAAACATTTGGATCAGGGACGAGTAGGGAAGGACAACGACTCGCTTAAGCACATTGGTGGGTATAGCCTAGTATAGACTATTTTTTCTTATGCTTCAAAGGGCAAAAAAGATCGGATTCCCCGAGAATGCTGCCCCTTTGCCACACTTAGAACTTGAATGGGAATGTGTTCTCTTTTTTCTGCCTGCCTAGTATCAACCGGATTCTGTGCGATGTTTGTTGCACTGGTCTAAGAAACATATCATAGGACATCCTTGACGATAGCCCAAGCGTTCGTTCCAAGCGAGCGTCTGCTCATGATCACGGCTTTGAGGCCACGGCAGCCAAGGAGGCAGTGCTAGCAATCTTGCCAGATGCAAAAGTTGAGGATGTGCCTTGGAACATTGGTGAGAGCTTTTGGCTTGGCAAATTTAGGAGACGCCAGACCAGTTGGACATGGCCACTTTTGATTTCTAGACCTTGCGACCTTCACCGACTTCATCCGACTTCACTTCACTCCCGTGGCAGTTCGACGCGTCGACCCGAGATGGTGACCTTCAACCCGGTATATACGCGTCGACCGAAACGGGTGACGGTCGTCGCAGGTGGTGATGGACATTCCGATGCCGGGGCATCCCCACCAGTCCGCTGAGCTGCTGCGTGCGAATGTCGTGGCCTGGTGGAGCGTTGTTTGGGGTGTGGGGTGGTGGTGTGGTGGTGTGGTGGGCCATGTGGACGCAAGGGGCAGAAGCGACAGCCAAATTGGTGGAGGGTGGTGGTGGTGGGGGAAGGAAGCAAAGAATTTGTGGAGGTTCAGATGTGACTTCAAAGCATTCTTGATGAGAATAAACACATTCAATTATATATATATATATGAAATTATATACTATGTACTGTACATCTATTTACAGTGTCCTGCTGAATCCATGGCTTTATAGATATGATCATCCTCACTTAGACATTCAAGGACTATTCCATCTTCCAATCTTCTATCTCTATACTATACTAAGTGAAGCCTCAAGATTGCCAGATTCACAGGTAAATGCCTTACGCTTGCGCCCCGAGAAGCTTGGAGCCACCTTTAAAGGGATACCACTGTCCATGGGATGACAGAGGGGCGTCGCGGGGGTGCCATCCTTAGACGGACAGGGTGACAGCGACGTTTTCCCTTTTTCAGGTCAAGCTCCAGGAGCTCATCGAGCGGCACGACGTCATCTGCCGCTGGGCGCGCTATCGGCGTCATCCGCCGATGGAGCTGGTGATGCGGAGCTGATGGAGCTGATTGGGCACTCTCAGACGATACCATGGATCCCAGGTCACCACATCTCAATATGCTCAAGTGGGAGGATTTTGCCAAGAATGCATCCCATAAGTCAGTCTTTTGGAGGTTCTCAGTGGGTGTCTTTAATTTTTGTTGTGAATTCATTCCGAGTGCTCTTTGCAGGGGGGTGGAGGCTCCAGCTTATCAGACAGGTTCAAAACGTCTTTCGCTCTACTGATGCGATGCCACGCTTCCGAAGCGGTGAATCCCCAGGTCTGCTGGGCTCCGACGTTCGAAGGGGCGCGCGCGTCCCGCACCGTCGCTCGGGCTTTACACGGTCGCCCGGTCCGTGGGTGACGACCCGAGGCATGCTGACGGACTCGCGCGAGTCGCGGTGGCTTCCCTCGCTCCTGGTGGCCGCGGCGCAGGTCGAGGGCGTACGACCGGTCGTCAGTGCGCGAAGGGGGTGTCGAGAGCGTCGGGAGGCGGCTGTTGCTGGGGGGAATTGTGGTTATTGAGGGTATGCCACAACCACACAGTGCCCCTCACATTACGGCCAGGGGTATGTGGATGGTGGTTGGGGCAAGTGCTTTGGTTGTTCTTTGGCTGTGGCTTGCCTTGGCTGAAGCAGAGTGGGGCAGCATATTATAATGTGCCCTGTCGGCCTTTTTGCATGGTTACTCGCCGGTCGAAGTCATGTCATCGTGGAAGAGTGACTTGTGATCCCACTTTTGTGATTGCTTGAATCCACGAGTGCAAGGATCATAAGGATCTTTTTGCTTGGAACACTAAAAAAAGTAGTCTGTAGTTGTTCCACATTGTTCCACCATCTGGTACTTCTCAAATTCTGGGCCAAGCTCCGGGTAGGTTCCAGCCAAGAACCACCCAGGCGTGACCTTTTGAGCGATTTTTGGGCGTGCAGGATCGAGGCAAAGATGCACCACTAGGACTCACCGTGGCCTTGGGCTTTGATTCCTTCCTGGTTTCCAGGCTCAGACCAGGGGTGAACCCCCGCGCTCCGTTTTTTCGCGCCGAGCTGGTGGACATCGTGTGGAGCCTTCGACGAAGCTCCGGTTCTTCCCATGCTTTTGGTTTGGCTGTGCGCGGGGGTTGAAAGCCACAAACACACGGCTGTGCTTCCATTGCTTTGGAAAGTCAGAACAGTCTGTGTGAGATTCAGGTGAGGAAGTTGTGGGTTCTCCTCTTCACATCACTTCCTGGTTCTCAGAACACTGATTCACAGTCGTATCTTGCGCACGTGGGCGCACGCTCGAACTTGTGGAGGCAAAGCTATCAGAACTCCCCAGCGGCATGCTACTTCTGCAATGATGTCACAGCTCCATCGGCACCTTGTCTAGAGTCTAGAGCCATTGTTTTTTTTGGTCGAGATTGAGATGGTTTGTTTGGTTCAGCGGCGGCGAACATATTTGGTGGAGGTCTGAGAAGACAAACAGATTTGAACACACACAGCGTGATGGCTGAAGATGGGTCAGAGGGCAGAGCGACCGCTGCTTTTCATATGGATGCTTCAATCAGTGTGGGCAGGTTTTGTATTGGTTCGCACTGTGAAATCGAATTCGAAACAGCCTTGTGCGAACGTTAATCTTGTTTAAAATTGTTTAAATGTATATAGATTGCCAATTAATGCCAATTAAGTTTCCTCGTACCTGTCTTCTTTTGGACCTTATTTGGGCACTATCGTTGGTGTCTTCTACTAGTCTGTGAGACAAGACTTCATCCCATCACCGCCTCCACCCTGTTTTGGTTGGGCCTTCCAAGCGACCAAGAACCCGAGAACCTGGTTTTCACGCCCCAAAACTGGTTTTGCTGGCCTCACCTTCGTTTTCTTGGTCAACTTGGGGGCCTTCTGGTATGGACGCACCTTCCTTTGGCTCCAGGCACGTCCCAGGGACCTGGGTGTTACTTCTCCGCGAGTCGCGGCCGTTCACCGAGGATTCGTTGGCCTTCAGGACGGATTTTTTCATGCAGTCTTCAGGTCTTGAGCAAATCGATGCACTTGGTATCCCGTGGTCATTTCCCCTGGTGTAGTTCATAAATTATTGTCCGGTCGATCATGAGTCGTTCTGAAAATGTTCTTCTGGGCATTTGCACTTGTGTTTGGCGTTGCGTGGACACACAAATTTGGCACACCATACTGATAGGACGGAAGTACACTTTGTTGATAAGATTTACAGTATCTCAGGAATTTGCGTGGATTCTTTGTAGATCACATTGGGCACAGGCAGAGCCCAGGCACTCTGCAACCAAGGACGTTTTTGTTGTGTCGGTTTGTCTACTGTATATCATACGTATATTGGGCTCGAGCGCGAGGACCCTGGACCAACAATGCACTGTCACGAGACCGGGGATTTCGGGGCTGGCCAGCAACTGTGCAGTGGAATTGCTTGCTGCACTCACACAGCACCAGGCGGACGTGGGCGGGGGCACCGTGGGCGACGGAGCTGCCAGAGAGACTGCACGTGTTTTTCCCCGTTTCTGGAGTTGGCATGCTGAGAACCATTTTGTCAGGATATTTTGAGACGGTTCGGATTCACCGAATGTTGTGAGGGCAACGCCAGGATGGTTTCGCAGCAGCTTCATCCAACACCGCCAGCATCAGCGAGTCTCCTTTAGGCGGCGTTCCTCACCAGGCACAGTTTGGCGCTGACGAGCATGACGGCCAATGTCATACAAAAACGAGGTGTTGCTGGTTCTGATGCAAAACCTACTGTATAGTCCCCAAAGACCCCAAAAGATCGTTTCATAGATTTATCATGCTCTATACTATAGTTCTATGGGTTCAAGTTCTCTCGGCCAAGATCAAGACCCTTGAGCCCGTGCACCACACCCACACCCGGGCCACCGACCTTCGCCCGCCGGCCGAGTCGAGAGCCACTCGCCCCGCCAGGTGCGCGGCTACGCGGCCGAGTACGCCTTGGCGCCCACGGAGACCGAGCCCTTTGGGCGGTGCATTTGCTGCTCCCCGCAGGCGAGATCGGGAAGGGGCGGGCACGCGGAGGACGTGGGAGGACGTGGGACGGGTGTGTGGAAAAGGATGAATCAAGTGGACGGATGGTCAAGGACGAACTGCTTTTGAAAGAAGGTGGATGCGTTGGGCAGATACATACCGCTTGCTCCACACTTAATTCAGCATTGATGGAATTTAAGCTCGCTTGCCACGTCGAGTGAACTGTCTTGTTTGTTCACGCCTTTTGCGGTGTTGTGCCGGACCTTGTTTCCTCAAAAGGCTTGTTGTTGACCATCACAGCAGTGGTGCCCGTAATTCGTGTTTGGAGGTCATTTGCTTTGTCTATATAGTTTTTGTGAGTTGCTGTATTCTCTCGGGTGGCCCTGAAGCAGAATTCCTCAGATAACCAGGTGCTTTAGGTTGCCACTGAGGTGCTTCAACGCTATGCAGCTGAAGGCATGGGCTTCTTGGAGCAAGTCATAGCTGATTCGTCCATCCTGGAGGCGGGCGAGTTGGGCTGCTCTTCCCTTTTTGATCATCGTACGCGAAGGTATGTGTTTGAATCATCCCTGTGGTGAACGGCTGCTGATTTGATCCTCCTATTGTTGGGTTTCTTTGCAAGCCGGACGTCATTGGGATTAGGCAGATGGCACTGGCAGGACATGCACCTTTGATTATATAGATGTCATTTGCACCTTTGCCCGTGCCTGTTCAGCGCTTTACTGTCACGAAGATCAACCGCTGGCGACTGGTAGGACGTCTCTGGCTTGGCCGAGATGAAAGCCGCAATGTCAGGGCCCGGGCCCCAATTTGCAGTGGGACTGGAAGCGAGCAGCGGGACTGTGCTAGCTGACGGAGTTGGTGTGTCTGACCATGTCTGAACTATGAAGATCCAAGCATTTGCTGGCCATTTAGAGTATCCATTAGCCCACACTCGCTATTCAAAAGGGTGCCTTGGAGAATTAACGGAGTCAAGAGTCTGAGGATGGAAGGAGATGTAGAAGCATTCGATGAGTTCGAGGACCTGTAGCGTGTCAAAGTTTCACCTTCAGGTCTATTCCGCGTGCTCGCAGTGCGAGTTGAGTACAGAAGTGCCAGCCGTGAAAAAGACAGCTTTTGCTTTGACAGTTGGACAGAGGGGTTTAGTCGATTTTGCCTGTTTACAGAGGGGTTTGCGGGGGCCTCTGTATTTTTAGACACAGACACATCATGACAGCTCTCTTGGCACATCTTGGCACTATTTCTCACCGTCTCACTGGCATCACCTGAGGCAATGCAAGGAACCTTGCTTTGCAGAGTCCTATGTTATGGTATTCTTCGGCTCAGGTGGTGCAATCAACCACAGCCTGGATTTGTGTTCTCACAGGACTAGGTCAGAGGTTCGTACCATCATGTCGCTTGCAAGGTCCAGTCCGTGGCGCTCCGCGCGGGTCGCTGCTGTTGTTGCATATTCAAACGTCTTGAAGGACTTGGGGCACGTATCATATGGGTACATCTGATCTAGAATTTGCTTGAAGGTCTTCTGAATTTGTTGAAGTTCTAGCATGTTCTAGATTCTAGCTTGGCAGCTTGGAACAGGTGTCCAAGCCTGAGATGGTCGTTCACTACTTCCAAGCATTTCAGGGATTTCCATATCCATACATACAGGTTGATTAGACCCGGATTAATGCGGTTTCCGGTTTCAGGGATTTCCTTGTTAGAACCTGTATGACCCTATGACGAGTTTGCCTTTGTTTGGGATATATATATATATATACATATATACCTGGACTGCAATCAGCCCTTGCGCCAGGGCTGTGTCCAAGGGCTCGCAGCTGGCCGCTTCCAGGTGAGAGGATTGGTATGGATTGGTTGGATCTGTTCACCAAAGGAACTTCATGAAACCAAGTTTCTGAATCAGGATCTGGTGACAGAGATTTGCTTGCAGCTTTGATCTTCCCAACTGCTTTGGCTTGGTCGAAGAGATCTCACAAGAGCCACCAATTCGCCTCCTCCTTCTGATCTCCTTTCCCCTTCTGAACCCCGCGAAACCCGAACGCTTTGATTTCACCCAGAGGCTTCCGGCGGCCGCCACCGGCTTCTTCGGTGTGCCTTCCACGTGGGGGCGACCCGGTCGGGGGGTTCTGGGGAGTTTTGGTTCATCAATCTCCTCGTTGACTTTTTGTTGGCTCTTAAACATTTTTGTTGAGCCCTTGTCGTTTTTCTGGGTTTTGTTATGCGTGTTTTAGGGTCATAACTTTCACTTGAAGTGATAATGAAGGGGATAATTGTTGAGGTGGTCAGAGTTTCTATGTGTAGGTTCAGGTTCAAATTCTACCAAGGTGTTCTTCAAAGATGTCGAATTACTTGCTTCAAATTCATGTATTGATTGAGGTTAGGCGCTGTGGTTCCTGTTTGGTTTTGCATATCAAGCATCCTTCAATCCAAGCCAGTTTGGCACAAATTGACTGAGCCGATGTATTGTCCTTTTTCTTTGACATTCTGCAGATGCATCGTTGTGAGGCAGGTTCAGCTTGCGCCAGGCCGGTTCGTCCTTCCAAGCGGTCATGCACGAACGCAACCCGCGAGGGCTTTTCCGGCGCAGACCATCAAAGCTGGTTGGACTTTCTTGAGCACAGGGAGCGTCGTAGTGCTGGTTCTCCAAGCTCTCATTCAAGGCTCCTTCCTGGCTTCTTCATGAACAGGGCAGTGAGGAAGGCTGGGCAAAGGCTGGAAAGGACAGAGCCCGCCCCTGCACGGCTGCTCGAGGAGGAATACATCAAGGACTTCATCAACTCACCTCAACGTGAAGCTTTGAGCACACCTTCATTCTTGGTGGTCAGTGGTTCCCAAGGCATTGGGAAATCAACCATGCTGAGCAATCTCATGTGTGAGCATGTGAAGAATGGCAAAAGGGTGCTTCCTCTTGATAGTTCTGCTCGTCTTGGTGAGGACTTGAAGCTCAATGAAGCGCTGCCCAAAGCATTGCAAGCAGTAAATCTGCCGCGATACTACCCAGAACAAGTGGAGTATATGCTGGAAAAGGTGAATGAGACGTCCAAGCGCCGAACAGGCAGTGCTGTCGTGGTGTACCTGCAACTCACAACCAAAAGCCGCGGAGACAAATTTAGTAGGGATGCCTGTGATGACATTGCTTCCACCCTCGGTGCCTTCGCTTGCAACATCACCTACGACAATGCCGCGTGCAAGTTCATTTTGGAGGTCAGCGTGTCTGCGGTGGCGGACATCGTCGAAGAAAGGTTTGACATGTCAGATTTGGTGGTGGTGCGACCGATGCCTTTCGAAGACTTCACGTCTGTGGTCAAGGAGATCGCGAAGCAGGGAAACGACTTCCGGACGCTGAACAAGGTTCTTGCCGACGATGAGATAGACGAGGTGTTGAAGCACTACTACATCCGCGCAGGGGGCAACTTCCGCGCCTTGGGTAAGATACTGCGAAGCGTCTCCAGTGCAGGTCAGAAAGGCGCGGATGCGGTCATCAAGCAGGTTGAGCAGTGGTCCAAGGAGAGGGTGCAACCAATTCAAAAGAAATTGGACGACCAGGAAGTGAAGGAGTATCTCCCCAAGGAGCCATGGGGTATCTCCCAGGGAGCGACGAGGAGACCAAATTGACTATGAGGCTTCTTCGTGACGAGCCAGCAGACTGCGTCCTGAGGAGGACAACCAAATGTAAGTGTGGCTTTGAAGCATTGGCATTTCGTCGCCACGCTCTTTCAAGAGGATGAGCAAAAGTTGAGGGATGCAGGATACATGTGAGCTTCGCCAGTGAAAAGAACTGTAGCGGTTGAGATGTTTTGTGGGTGAGTCACCCAAGAGCAGTTTTCACACATTGCATGCATAACCGCAGATACCCAACTCTAGTATCAAAGATACCCAGATACCCGCATCTAACTATCAACGATACCCACAACATAGTATCAATGATACCCAGATACCAAAATCCAAGTATCAACGATACCCAGAGCCCAGAGCCTAGTATCAGTTATACACAGAAAGCAGTATCCATGTAGCAACGATGCCCACAACCTAGTATCAATGAAACAGAAATCCAAGTATCAACGATACCCAGAACCAAGTATCAGTGATACCCCGATACCAGTATCCAATTATCAATGATACCCAGAACCCAGTATCGAGAGACTGGAAACTTCAGAGTTTGACTTCTATATAAACCAGAACTTGGAGAGAGTGGCTTAACCTAAGAAACTCCGGAGTTTGACACTTGAACAGTGGAAGAAGTGGCTTATCCAAGCAACCTCTCAAACCCTGACATTTGGCAAACACTTCCACTAAATTCACTAAATATATTCGTAGATTCGTAGATTGGATTGACCTATATACATCTATCTCCCTATCAATCTACCTATCTATTGTTCTATCGTTCGTCCGGCTTGGTCAGAAGGGAGGTCTTCATCATCTTCATCCACTTCAGGGGGGTCGGGGGATGCGTGGGCGTCGGCGTTGCGTTCTTTTTTAAAAGATACCTTTCTATTTATTCAAAAAGAAAGGACGAAGAAGTCCAAACGCGACCCCCCACACTCACTACCTACCCAACATTTTTTTAATCATAATATTTTGATTTATGTATATATAAAAGATGGTTGGAGTAGGTTTTTTCAGTCGGGGTGGCACTGTATCGGGGAGCATCGGTGGCAAAGAGACCCCACAAGCAAACCCATACGGTGTCATTCTGACTGTTTATATGGTTATATGGTTATATAGTATCTAGTTGGCTCAAGTGTGGCAGGAACAGTAAATTCTAAAGTGCTGGATTTCGTAGAGAGTGGCGGGAACAGGGATTAATGCGTCAAGATTTCGTAGAAAGTCGCAGGATTTCATAAGTGAAGATTTCGTGAAGTGTTATGCCCAATCCCTCGCTTATCAACAGAACACCTTAAAAAACTTAAAGAAAAGGCGCCTAGATGAAGTTTCTGATCCGGAAATGTGGATGGGGCTGCATCACTTTTCTTCAGACTCGGAGGACGAGGAGGATGCAGCAGGTGATGTGGAGAGACCGAGTGGTTCTACACGACATTGAACATTGAGCATTGTAGAGAAAGCAATTTGCAATTCAATTTTATTTCAATAGAGGTGGATTGTTGAACCAACTGAACCAACAATCTACCACGGATGCATGGAAGGGATTCCTGCTCCAGCTGAACCAGGAATTCACAAATGGCACCACGATTGATGCAGTACTTGAACGTTTGTTTTTGAGACACTGCACAGATCTAGAATTTGCAAAGGACTTTTGTCGGAATGGCAGAAACAATGCTGGAACTACACATATAGGATATGTGATATAGATCAAGCGGACTTCACCCTTGCCACTTAGTAGAAAGTGGTGCTTGATCGCATGTAGAGAAAAGAGAACAAACAGAGCCTAAATCGGCTATGTTTGAGGCGGCGTGTTAGACTTTTCTAGTTGACTGACATGTACACTTAGATGTGTAGTATTTGTTCTTATCACTTGTACCGTGAGCGCCTTCGGATCAAAATGCGAGCTGCCTAACAAGGATACATACTTTGACTTGAAAGAGATGAAGGAACATCTCAAAAGCCTACCACCCGATGAGAGGAAAGGCGTAAAAGACTTTGAGAGATTGAGGAACTTGGCAAATGGAAGAAACGAACACGAAGGACTACACGAGATAGATAGAGTGATAAAGGAACTGGAAGAGGAGGAAAGGAAAAAGGAAAACCAACCAGCACCCGAAATCTAAACAAGACAGCAAACTTACTTTTAAAAACACACACACACACATTTATATATATATATATATAGTAAGAGAAAATGAGTAGCGTAAAGATTGGGGATTTGAGTTCAGTTTCTGAAAATTTAGGGTTATGTGCTGACTTTGGAAGTGATAGTGAGGATAGAAAAACATATGAAGAGATAAGAGAATTCGTTAGATGTCATCCTATGTCTTTACCTGATGATGAGGACGGCGATGCCTTCTGGCACAAAGTGATTGATAGGATGAAAGAAAAGGAAGGAGTAAATGGTATGTTAATCTTTTCGTTCGTGAGGTTTGACATTATGAAAAAAATGTATGAAAACCTCACAGACAAAAAAATCATCATTGATTGTGGTAAGGAACTCAACCGTGACGGAGAATTTAATGCTATGATTATAAACCTAACTCTTCTGTCAATAACGATGGATGAACTAAACGATACAAACAAACCGTGCCTAACACAAATTAGGGTCATTGAGCACTGGTGGGATGGAATAGGACAATGGAACGCATAAACACGATTAATTCATAATATTTTAGTTAAACATATTATGAACCAACCCTTTAAACCCAAACCCCCACAACAAGAGAACCCTCTAAAACATATTTAAAGACATAACCCCTTAAACTTATAGAGATACAATGACTGACAAAAAGCAATGTTCCAAGTGTAAGGTCTTTCAATCACTCAACTATTCCAAAAATGAATGTAAGCAATGTAAATTATGTCTGGAAGCAAAGCAAGGAGACAGGGAGAAAAACCAAGATAAACTAAGAGAGTATGCCAGACAATACGACTATCGTAAAAATGAACAAACTGTAGTATGTCCGGTGTGCGAAAACATCATAAACAAATACCAAGTCAAACGACACGAGGAAAACAGCAAACATCAAAACAAAGTAAAAGGAAAAGAACAGCCACACGTTATAAGAAATGGAGAGAATGAAAGTGGCATTATGAGAATATAAACCCAAAACCCCACCAAAAAAACACCACAAGACAAAACACAACAACCTAAACAATCATCCACCTCGTTGAATTATAGCAATGATAGTGAAAGTTATGACCCTAAAACACGCATAACAAGACCCCCAGAAAATCGACAAAGGCTCAACACAAATTGTCAAGAGCCAAGAACAATTCAACGAGGTGGTTGATGAACCAGAGCCCCCCAGAACCCCCAATTTTACTACTTTTTTTGGGGGGGGCGGTGCCGACGGTCCGGTCGTGTTTCAGGGCGTCATGATGTTGTGAGAGATATTGAGGGATGCTTTTTTGTGTTTGGGTTGTGGGTGCCAGTAGAGACTTTGGTAGTAGGAAGATGTAGTTCTGGATGCGAGTACAGGCAGAAGCTGACTGATATTTTACTATCTCGAATAATATTAATACCGTTCGTGTAGGCCCAGGTGGCTTATGCAAAGGTGCTTTGGTACGAAGCCACCCCTCCATGCCCCTAGGGCCCTAGGAGGAGTACACGGATCTTATGCTTCCCATGAAAAGAGCCAAGGCCAGAGGAGTGGGAAGCTGCAGGATATGAGATCTCCAAGAAGAATGGTGCCCCGAAGATTTACTCGCAGTGGAACAGGCAGGGAAGGAAGGTGAAGGAAGTCTGCAGAGGAACAGAAACGGTTCCGTGTTGTTTTACATGTGGGTTGATCCGTTGATCACCCAGTTCGCTTTATACAGTAGCACCAAATCCATCCCACAAGTGCCTGGGGGTATATATAGTGCTTGCGCATGGTTGAGAGGCTGTGAAACGCATCATTCTTTGCTGTGTGTAAATGAACGCATTTCAGGTGGTTCCCATACGAGCCCGTGCCGTACTCACCCAAGTTGGGACCATACATTGAGCATGTGGAGAAGGATACCGTCTACTATTGGTGCTCGTGTGGCGAGTCGGTCTCCCAGCCCTGGTGCGACAACGTGGGCTGCGCCGGGACCAAGTTCAAGCCGATGGTGGTGATTCCGGAGCACTCGGGGAAGCAGTGGTTTTGTGGCAGCAAGCACAGCCCTAGCAGGCCGCACTTCAACGGCACATGCTGGTCTGTATGGATGGATGTGAATACCATCCCGGCAGCGGGCATGCTTTTTGGAGGCTGCTTCGTGACCGGGGTGATCTTCACTTGGATGGCCCATCCATGAACGCCAAAGAAGAAATCCGATCGAAGGAGGTGAAAGATCCCGATTCCAAAATTCAGCCACATTCGGGAATATTTTTAGGCTTCTTGACGACTGTGCGTAATCAATATCACCTCAACAAATAAATATTTACAACTATATATCGACTAATTCAATCATATCAGATACATTTTGAATTACAACTCAAGAAAAAGGAACAAAATATGAATTATAGAATGGACTAACGCCCGCATAACACCGATCTCTTATTTGAATTAGGAATATAAGGATATTTATAAAGGAAACATATAGAAAGATATAAATAACGAATTAAAGGAAATTAATAGGAAATATAAGAAAAGGAAAAGGCATATTTAGGGATATAAAAGGATATTAAAAGGGATATAAAGGAAAGGAAAGGAAGGAAAGGAATAATAATAGGAATTTAAAGGATATTTTTTGTAATTTTTAAGGATAAAGATATTATACAAAATTAATTTAAAGGATATGGTTTAAAAGGAATAGGAATGAATAGGATAAATATTTAATATATATATATATTTTTTTTTTGTAAAATTAAGGAACGAGAGGAAGATTTGATGGAATTAAATGAAAAGGAAGAGAAAATATTTTATATCTTCTTGATTGAAATATTTATTTGATACCTCCGATATTGGGAAATAGAAATATATTAGATTTTATTTAACAATTGATAATGAAATGAAATAATGAATGATTCCTAAAATATAAAGATAAAATTAAAATAATCGATTTTTGGCATCATGCAAACATTGATATTATTATTTCGATGTATTGGTATATGCATTTTTATATTTTATTTTGTTTTTTTTTAAATAAAGATCTAAAGAGATTACTAATAATTTTTCTGGGTCGTCTCGATTTTTTGAAGAAAAATAAATATGGAATAATATTGTCTCTATGAAAATTTATTTATTATGGGATCGCGATTGTTAATTTTCAAAACGTGTCTAATAATTCTGATTTTCTTTTTTAAATATGCAAATATTATCCGATGCAGCAAATTAATTTGGGAAAGGGATTATCTTAGGATTTTTCGAAGGTCGCGTAATTGGAAATTTTCGAATCTAGAAAATAAGGATTGCATTAATTCCACCGTTGCAAATCCATATAAAATCTTTGAACGAATTATATTATTATACAGAATAAGCTTCTACCTGACAGGACAACTTACATTTTTGAAGAACATGTGCATGCGTTTCCATACGGCCATCGTAGCAGAAATCCGACTTTTAACTTCAACTCGATTATCTACATGTCGTGTGAGGAGCCCCCCGAGGTATGAGACATAATTTTTATGTGGCATACGAATTCCGTCCCTCCTGGAGATAAGTGCGCATTTGGATTTGTTGAGTGAAAGATCATAATAATGAAATTCGTCTTCAATAGTATGTAACAACCGGTTCATTGCACGAATATTTTTAGTAATCAAAAGCGTGTCGTCAACATAAAGAATTTCTATAAATGATATGGGATCTAAGTGTCTATGATGGAGAGACCAATATCCGAGAATATATTCGATATAATAATGACGAATAGATACGGGCTAAGGGGACGACCCTGCCGAATAGCTTCCAGACTTGATTTCATCGAATTCAATTTGGAAAGTGGGGTGATTATAAATAGCACGAAGAACCCAGAGCATTTTCGGGGGAATGTTCATTCTGTCTAAAACTTCAAACATGCGGCTATGGTTAATTTTATCAAATGCCTTTTGCCAATTTAAGAAATGCAATAATAATCTTTTCCACTCTGTTCTGCGGCATCTTGGATTCGCCTGGCAATATATAAGGGTTGTAGAGTGGAACGCGCACGTCTGAATGCATATTGTATCTGAGCGAGAAAAGGATTCAAAATTTCAACGAATCTGGGTTGGAGGATAGAAATAAATATTTTATAGGCATATGTCAGCAAGGAAATAGGTCGGTTGTTGTAAATATTTGCGTATTTCCATTTTTGTACAAAGAAATAATCATGGCCCTGAGATGTTCTTGGGGGATATCTCTAGAATGCCCCCAAAGGTTCAAGGCTTCGGTTAAGAAGCGGCAATTTTCTGCACTTACAACTTTGATGGTGGCAATGCTGATTTGATCATGGCCAGGTGCTTTTCCTGATTCTATATTTTTGATTGCGTCAATTGTATCCTGGACCGAGAAATCGCTCAACCGGATATTAAGGTCATGATTCAATATTTTTGAACGACGTTTGTCAGTGGGAATGGGCGCAGGGCGCCATTGTACATGGTGAAAACCGACCCTATTACCATGTCTATGGTGAATGCAATAACCCTTTTTGATTTAAATAGGAAATATAAAGGAATTATTTAACATTTTATTAATACTATTTTAAATTTGTAAATAGGGAATAAATAGGAATTAAATAGAACATTAAACTACTATTAAAATAATTGAATGAAATATCATAAGGAAATAAATGGACAAAATATAAATAGAACGCAATTAAATAGGATAAATGCAATATATAAGGAATGAAAAGAAATTAATAAAGATCATTTTTAGAATGAATTGAAAAATATATATATAGGAATTAATCATATTTTTAAATGAATTAATAATATATTTAAATATACATATATATATATTAATCGGATAATAAAGGACATAAAATTAAACAATATTGATTAGGAATTATAAAGGAAATTATATATGGATGGATGATTCGATTCTATTTTAGATGAATATTTAATTTCGATTGTTTTGATTTTTATGAAAAAGATTTATCTATAATATTTTTGTATTTTTAAAGACAATGTATTTTAGTATAATATTGAATGATATGTTGATTTTGGAGAATCTAATGGAGTTGGATTCGATTATTGATAATATTTGATATATTTTTGCAATATATATAATTTAAAAAGATATCTATATATCTAATATTATATATATGGAAACTTTTAATTTGTTGCGATCTCTAGCAATTTGATATTATTTATCTTTGAATATCTTCTGGAAGATTACGGAAAATATTTTCTAGAAGACTATAGGAATAGAAAAATATGAATATATCCATGACGATCAAAACCACATTTTTGAACCATATCGATGTCGCCAAAAAGATGAAGAGGGATATATTTTTCTCCAATATTTTTTTGATTCCTTTCCCAGGAGGAGATCCGTACAAAGAGAATAAATGCATGGTTTGATCCATTTGAAGATTTGAAGGCATATTATATCAATTCATCAATTAGATGATATATTACAATTAGATGGCATAATATATCTCTCAATATCCAAATATTTCCAAAATCTTCTAAATCAATTCCTTCGTAATCGCATCAATATTCTTTTGGATCCATAATCAAATCAAAACATACTTTTGGAGGAGAAGATGGATGAAATCCTGATACGGCGCAAGATTTCTTGGTCATCAAACTATTTACCTATCTGATAAGATATGATGGGCTTATGAGATCTATATTAGATCCATATTATATTGTTTCTCAGGGAAGGACAAATTTAATAACACAGATCAATCAGAATAATTTTCATGGATTCGTAACCGAACCGTAGATGTCGCACCGCCTAAGAGAAAGGCGCATATTCCATGAAGCAAGATTTTCAATTCAATGTTTCGTCTTAGATCCTAGCCAAATCATGCCCCAATTACAAAACCATATTCCGTGCAGATAATAAAGACCTTGGCCATGAATCGAAGATAATATCTATATATAAATTTGATACGATAATCAATTCTTTGTCTGGATATCCTATAGGTTGAGAATTCTATATTCGGATCTCTTATGAAGATTTGATTAATGAAGAATAATCATCATTAATTGCATATTCATTTTGTTTAAAATCTTGAAATTGGCATATGGCCTAGTAGAGGCACCACGAATATGGGATCTCAAGGCCGTTCATCAATTGATTGATATGGGAATATTTCTTATGTCGGGGCTACCTTCGTCAAGGTCATCAATGGTACCACGCTACCGCGATCTCAATATCTATATTTCATGTGGACCACGGTTTGTTGGCTGGACATCCCAAATATTGAGAATTTCAATAATTGGATACTTGCATTGATGAAAAATTTCAGAATTTTTCCATGAAGGACTGGTTATTTCTTGGAGAAGAATTAATTGATTTCCTTGGTTGCAAAATTTCTTTATATGATGGAGGAATCTTCAAAGATTGCATGAAATTCAATATTGAAAATGGAATCAATGGTTTTGATAAAACATATAATTTCTTCAATATTATATTAAAAAAATCGATGATAAATTATTTCTTATGATTGAATTTGTGCAATAGGTATCAGGGATAATTATGATATATACGAGAAATATGATTCGTCTGTTGATGGAATTCAAACATTTTGTATAAGAAGGATATATGCAATTTCTTTATCATTCAATATATAGGGTGAGCCCTTTTGCATTTTGATTAAATGATTATCTGGGCAAGAACGATTCGTTTTGTGCACCAAAAGAGCAATCTTTATTCATTTCCGCTTTATAGATTTTGCAAATTCTATCCATTCATTATCAATAAAATGAATTTCGGTACAACAAGATTATCTATATTATCAAATCAATCTTACAACAGTGGACAATTCACTTAATATTACAATGGATGAACAACTGTATCTTCGTTTGCTTCTTGAATTACTTTGATTTTCCCCATCGGAAATCATGGATTCTTGGAAGAAGAATTTGACAATTATAGGAATGATGACAATTGATATGAAGGCTCTGGTCGACCTCCTGCAGAAGACAAATCGCCTAATATTTCAGAGACAGACGATATTGGTCATCTTAGTTGCCAAACAATTGGTCGAGAG